TACACCTGCTAATTGCGCTAATTCCTGATCCATGGGCGAAGTGGTAAGGTGACAATGAACTATACAGGTGTGGCGAATGATACGAATATACAGTCTCAATTTCTCTTCATCCGTCCAAGTTCTACAGTATGATGAGTTCAGATGTCTATAAGTTTGGGTGTACTGACCGAGAGCCCACATCTGGCTGGATGCCCATCAGTACTCGCGCGGCGCCTGTCCAATCCTCGTCCGACTCGAGGAAATCGGCCATCTGCAATCTCAAAGATGTAACCTGAAGAATGAATATTAGATATATGTCACCATGAGGGCATTCAGAGGGAGATAAATTACCTGTTCATCATAACTGACAATCCGAGGTTGGAGTATGTCGAGTGTGCTCTGAATGATATATCTGCGGGTATCATCATCGGCAATCTGCTTCGTTTCCAGATTTTTGACGAGGTCAGAGATGACTTGTCGTCCGATAACGAGACCGACGTGATCCTGCGTGACCACTTCTCGCACAATTTTGATCACATTCTCCTTATTGTTAAGATTCTTTTCCAACAAAGTCTGATACCCTGTTGCCTTTGTTCTTTGCACGGTTACACCTGCTAATTGCGCTAATTCCTGATCCATGGGCGAAGTGGTAAGGTGACAATGAACTATACAGGTGTGGCGAAGACGCCGAAAGGTCTTCCCTCACTTTTTCTGGGTCCGCTTATCTAGAACAAAGGAACGAATAGCGAAATAATAAATCAACCATAATTTTATTACAATGTGCGTTAATAATAATGCCATGAAGTTGCCGTATAAACTAGCGTTCTTGTGAACATATGATCGACGAGAAGAGTAACCACCATATAGAATGGAACCCGAGAAGTGCATAGTGAGTCGATAATGTTTCAAGCTGGGGAAGTGGTATGCTTTGTCGAAGCATCAATCTTGCGAAAAAGTCAGTACTGTTTACCTAGAAAAACTCATGAAAAAATATCTACCTTGTGGCGTACGTTTTCTTTCTTCCTAGATAACTTGAATTTGAGTTTACTAAGCGCATAGAGGGTTTGTAGAGGAACAACGCGTGGCGGACATGATCCACATCCGAAATCTACTATCTCGTCTTCGGGAGGAAAGAGGATGTTTAAATCAAAGACCTTGTCCCCGAGGGGGCGTGCAGAGACGCTCGTACTCGCACGTTGAATGTAATCTTCCCACCATTGCTTGATAGGGTCTACACCACACTCTTTGCATTGCTTGATCCTATATTCGGATGGCTCGTCGTCGAATTCCTCAAACAACCTCTTGAAGAATGTGCGTCTCTCCTCATGGAGCTCGTTGAGCCACCGATAGTACTTGGTAGGCATCTCGTCTAGCTCCGGAGATGAACTCGCCTGGTGCAGGTTTGTCCGGAGAGTGAGATGAGAGGCGTGGACCGCTTCGGCTTTCCAGTTCATCGATGTAGCAATTGCATATGCTCGTAGTGGATCAACTTCTACTAGAGCGGGTCGGATTGGGGTCGCTTTGTGATGGGCGTCCACCCTCGGGGAAAGGAGGAGAACGCGAAGTGCGTCCACTGCGCTCTCAATTTCATATTTGGTAGCAGCTTCGAGTACTTTTGCATATTGGTCAAAGTTAAGATACGTCGGATTCTTCATAGGATAGACGAATTGAAACCTATAACTGTATATGAGTCTTGGTCTCAATCTCAAATAAGGTGGGGAAGGTATTACAGAATTTCCAAAGTAGAGGCAGGTTCAGAAAGCTTTACGCATGGTAAACTGGTTTCAGAACATGGCGTTTGCGGTTGGGGCACGGACAACATGGTCCTGAAGACGTCGGATGCCATGGCCAGGATGCACCTGTGGACTGCAAACACAACGTCGTCATCAGATTTGAGATGAAAGTCTGCATCTTCAGCATTAAATCGAGACGAGAGCTGTTGTTCGTCCGGCATTTAAGTGTTCTGTGGCTAAGGGAGGTTGGGTGTCTGCAAACAAACAACTACGGCCCAGCAGAAAACCCAACCGGAGGTTGCAGTTTGCCGGGCAAGAGAACGCAAAAAATATCAACATTTTTAGTCTTTAAGACGTATATGCATCGTATTATGATGAAGAATTGATGTATTGTTTGGCGGTACACGAACTACATGAATGGGATGGTGTACGGCGGTCAAGTCTTCGCACAGATTATATCTAGGTCATTCAAGACTTGGAAGATCACGTCGCCTTCCATAGGTTAAACAATCCACATAGAGGTAAAGACAGAGTCAAAGACAGGAAAGGGAATGGGGTTTCACAACTCATGCCTGGGAGGAGCTGCGAGCGAAACCGACGGCGTTGCGTCCGAGATCATATACAGTGAAGTATTTTCGTAGGAAAACGTCACCTGAAATGCAAGATCAGTAAACGACACATTTTTATCTAAAAATATACATACCGACGATCCACAGGTCACCGCCGGGCACATTGAGGTCCATGCCGGTGAAGGCGCTGACGCATTGATTGCCGAGGTTAAGGACGTAGTCAGTGCTGGCAATTGGGTATGGCTTTCCGTTGAACATGAAGGTGAAGTCGGGAAGCGAAGGGACCTTCTCGCATGGCAAGGTGTATTGTCCGTTCCAGGAGCGCTTGGCACCGATCCTAAAGGATTGTTAGCTAGAGATAATGCAAAGAGTGTTGGTATACATACTCGGAGTTAAGCATTTCCGCGATGGTGGAGGGCATGACGATGAGCGAGGTACCAGTGTCGATGGCAGCACCGGTGTTCTCGAGCTCTAGCTCGTCATCGCCAAAGGCAATACCCTCAAGCTCAACCTCCCAGTACGCCTTGCGCCTGACTGGAACGTATTCGATCTTGCCAGTATAATGGCTGTGGTCGATACCGCCGAAGACAGCTTCTCCTCCATCATCCTCAGAGTAGCCCATGCGGAAGGTGAAGATTGGTTCGCTCAAGAGACCTTGATTAATGGCATTATAGAATGGTGGGGTAATGTGGTTAACTGAGATGGTGTCGTAGGCGAGACCCAAGATGCCGTCGAACCTAGAGCTACTTTAGCAAATGCCAAAAAAATAAAACTAAAAAAGTCACATACTTGCCGAAAGCAAAGGCGAGACCTGGCTCCTTGGTAGCTTCAGCAAAGTCCTGCTTCGTGATCGTGAGGTCACCAATGGTCATGGTATCTTGAGAGACGAATCCCTCAAGAGAGCCAGAGCCATAACGGATCGCGAACGATGTTCCATTGGCCTTATATGTGGAGGAAGCTCCAGAGTCGTACTTGGCATGCAAGAAGCAGGCAATCGATGTGCAAGACATGCCAGGGACCCACAAGTTGCTGGATCTAGAAAGGCCGTCAGATATCATTCTCGGAAGACTAATTGTGTACGAACCCAGTATCGAGGACCACCTTGAACTGGTAAAAGCCGCGTCAGCACGTGATCTTCCCCGCAGGCAATGCGCAGCATAACATTGACTAATCGACTTACAGTTTGTGGGGGAGTTCCCAAAGTGATTTCAGCGAAATACTGTGCATTCATAAAGTCTTTGTAATGTCAGCTCATGTCCTGTTGAAGCATGTTGACAGGGTGACGTACTACTTAGGGGCACGCCATGGCCACCATCTGCAACGATTTCCTGCGTCCAGAACAAGTCATTGTTCTTGGGACTGGGAGGTGTAGCAAACTTGCGACCAAAGCCGCCAGAGCCAGCGAGGGGCACTTGACCGCCGTACTTTTTAGCCAAGAGTGCAGCCTCTTCAGCAGACCCCGGGGCAGTTGGGGCAATCTTCTTGAGCTTCATACGATGGACTCCATCTGAAGCACTCGCGAAGGGGAGTAACAGGAGCGACAGTAGTACAGATGAAATCATCTTTGATGGTCGGGTCAAAGAATCGTTCAACCACCCATGACCCGCCTGTCCGGATCTCTAAAACCTCTCCAGAGCCCAATAAACACCATTAACATTGCTTGTTATCTCGGGTGAAGCATAATGAAGATGTTTGCGGAGTTGAATTTGTTAGCCCATCACGGTTACCATCGCCCAATTTGGTCGCTACTCGACGTTGACCACCTACCCGCCTTCCGCCTCTCTCCTCGTTGAGGACTCCTTTCCTTTTTCCATTCTTTTTCTCGTTCTCAGTTTCTTTTTAACGAGTGCTAGCGCTCTTTCCGTAAGTTTACTATCCGTATCTAGCGCTTGAGGCGTCCTGCCGTTCAGCCCGCTGACCGTCGTAAAGCCTTTTTCAGCTATAGGTCGATCCCTGGACAATTTTGTGAATTGATACAAGATCTCATAACTCTCCTTCATCAGCTATACACTCGTTTTCTTATCATTTCTACCTCTCTACGGTTATCAGTCCGACATACTAGACGGAGGATCCAGCACATTCTTTCTAACAAACTTCGATAAATCTTTGTTCTCAATGGCTTTCAGAAATCAATATACAGGCAATGGCGGGTCCCAAAGACTTGGTGGTATTCGAACGCTCGAACTAGGTGGCTCAGCAATGCATCAACGACCGCGGGCCCCTATCTCCCCACCGGAGACAGAGAAAAGTGCCCAGACTCTGTTTACGATGGATAGAACCACTGCATTAGATCCTAGGCAACATACTTTGGACTACCAGGAGCCAGAGGAGCCAGGGTTCAAGTATCCGCCTCGTCGTGGTTCGTCAATACACTACAACCAAAACACAGGCATAGGGCGTCAACCACCCAGAACGACTCGTTGGCTTCTAGTAGTACTTCCTCCGAGTAGTCTTTCAAACGAGCCGTCGATGGGCCCCACCCTCGCCATGGGTGCTCCAGGCCGATTCAACAACGGAATATTGATGCCGCTATTCCCTACGGTAGGTCAACAATATGGAGATAATATCAATGTCTAACAGCACTCATAGATGTATGCCCAACTGACCGCGATTGCCAGGGAATTTAGTCTCCCTAGTACTTCCGGAGTCTGTCTCTACCTCCGCCCCTCTGAGCCACAATTCAACATTTCGCCCCGAATTTCGGACGAAGCATGGCCACTCTTATGGGGCGCTCACTTTGGTCAAGATGATGGCAACATGCAGGGTGCAAGTAGGCTGCCTATTTGCGGACAAATAGAGTTCGATGTCGATATTCGGAAGGCTCGGTGGTATGAGGCCTGGGCCAGCGGACACGAACGGCACATCTCGCTAGACGCTTCTATCCCTCCTTCTATCGCACAAACGATGACGCGGTGGTACAATGAACAGCGGGAGAAAGAGCAATCGCCGGAAGAAACGGAGTCCATCCTCCACGAAAACGTCTCCGTCAACCATACACGGACGAAATCCGTTCCACGGCCGCTTACGCTCGCGAACAACAACGATAACTTGAATAGGTCGTTGCCGAAATATAAGGTCTTCAACCCGCGGGATACCGATGCAACAGACTCGGTGTCCAATAGGCGAGCGCCTAGGCGGCTGTCGCCTGTGATCCAGGTAGACGAGTCGGCTGCGGCAGAACAAAAGGATGTCAATGCTTTAGTCAGGAATTGGAGAGCTTCTACTCCTATGGCTCCAGTCATCCCCCGCACAGAGAAGCAAGGAGACACCGAGTCCACTCCAATCGACTCTAGATACTTTTCAGATATCGACCTAGATGACTACCAGTGGTCCGTTTCTTCTGCAGGTCCACCGTCTCAATGGCTTGCGTCTCCTTTCTATGACGAACCTCTCCGTTCTGTCAATCTAGAAGGTCGAATGGAAGGTTCTGTCGGCTTGACATCGTCCGTGGCGACATCATTTGGTCCCGACGATTCTTTCCCCACTCCCACATTCTCCAACGTATCTAGGTACAGGTCTCCCGATATTGCTGGGCGACTCATGGAAGACGCACCGCCCACTCCTACTACGGTTACCAGCTGGGGAGCACCCCTCTCCTGCCCAACAACACCCACAAGTTCAGTTCGCATTCGTACACCTGGTGTAGCTAGTCGTGGTGTTACCAGTGTTCCTCCAACACCTATGACTGCCACTTCGTGGGGCGCCCCTTCGGTAGGGCCAGACTCCCCAGTCGCCGAGGCCCGGTCCATGACCCCTGACATTGGGTTGAGAGGGCATGGAAGTGTACCTGTCACACCTAACACGGCGACCAGCTGGGGTGCTCCTGAAGTGTGGCCCCCAAGTCCACTACAAGAGGAAAGACCTGCCACTCCAGACATGGCAGAGCGCGTGCACGACGATGAGACGTCAGCCAAACCGTGGCAACTCGTCTGGCCATTTATAGAAGATGAGGATGCCTACGACCTTGTATGGCCCTTCTGGGAGGCAAAACAGACAGAACAGGCAGAGCCATATGAGCTCGCTTGGCCTTTTTGGGAACCAGAACAAGCAGAACCCTATGATCTCGTTTGGCCCTTCTTTGAGACAGAACAAGCAGAACAAGCAAAACCATATGATCTCGTTTGGCCTTTCCTTGAAGTCGAAAGCGCCCCAGCGCCCTCAGCGCCGTCGACCGTTCGGCCTACCACTACATCGAACAATCGCAGCGGATTAAGCCCTATCAGCGAAGCTACTCCATTCTTCGGTGTCTGGCCATTCTTCCAAGCTGACTCGAGCGCTGATACAAGTTTCGCCGTCGGAAATTTATCCGGCAAATCTCCTTATCTCAGCAAAAGTGAGTAAATTTACATATTACGCTTTGTCCCGAAACATCACTGCATTTGAAGTCTGATAAATTTGTTGCGTTGCCAGATGCACATGTTTATCCGACCTCGGTGAGGAACCGAGAAGCTCGTGTGGGACCGGCCGATTTGCCAAATGACGCCCTACAAAACCCGTCCATTGGAAGAAAATTTTCGTCGAGGAGCTATTGTGAGCCCCATTTTCTATCTCCTCGACTAGTCGACATGCTGGCTACTATTCAATTGGCCAAGGAACAAGCTAACCCAGTTTCACTATATTTAGACTTGAAGGGTTCCCGGAAACCTACCGCTTCTGCTCAAAATTCTACCTCGACCAGCGAAAGTAACTCGCAATGTTCCACGCGTTACGGTTACTTTGATCTTTATCCTGCGGTTTATCCCAATGTGGTCCCATATCCGGCCTTCTATGAAGTCAAGCCACAAAAAGCCCCTTCCAGCCAAGAGAGCCGGCATGAACTACCATCAACACGGCTTACTCCTTGTTATCCTAGCTTTGAAATCTGTGAGTACTATCTTTTCCTAGCAAGAAGGAATATCGTGCTTAGGATTGGCAGACCCAGCTGGTTATCATAACCTCGTCATCTACCCTGATGTGAAGAGTACAGTCAAAAAGAGTAAAAAGGCGGTGTCCACATCGAAACTTTCAGTACATCCACAATCTACTCGTCTCGCCCCCGCTTATCCGACCTTTGACTTGTGTAAGTTTTATTCTCGCCAAACAGGCGCACCTTCTTACGATGACTAGATCCGGCCTTGTATCCATACATATCACTGTATCCCCAGTCGACCGGAAAAGCAACGGTTGGAACCCTCCGAACTCATTCAACTGATATCAAAAAAGAGACTTTACCGCAATCAAAGCGACTAAATGCCGCTTATCCTCACTTTGAACTTTGTAAGTTGGAATAACTCGCGTCACAGCTTTCAGTATCTAATCTCGTCTGTTTAGATCCTCCGGTGTACCCTTATTTGACGTTGTATCCCCCTGTATCCTCTGGGAAGGGTGTTAAGGAGTCCAGAGCTATTGTGAAGGATCAATGGGCGATCAAGTCGACCAAGCTCCCATCATCTTACCCTAATCTGGATATATATGCGCCCGTGTATCCCTTCTTGACAATCTATCCCGAAGTTCGGATGCCGTCCCGAGCAGCCAAGGCTCAGACCCAAGCGGTGACAAAAAGCAAAGCATTGGTGCCTATATCGACCAGGCTAGCTCCGAGTTATCCTTCCTTCACCTTGTATCCCACTGGGTATCCGGACCTGGAGATTTATCCTGCCGTAAAACTCTCGAAACCAACGGTCGAGCCTGTTCTTCTATCTGGTGCACACTGGCGGTACCCAAATATCTGCATCTATCCACCTGTTGTCAAACCATCTTCAGTGACTATTGCCCTTCCTGGCACGACCTCCATCTATCCGGATCTGTGCATTTATCCACCTCTTACCAAAGTCTCGTCGATTTCTGTCGCCCTTCCCGGAACATCCTTCGTCTATCCCCACCTCTGCATATATCCTCCTATCAGCATATCCGTTGCTCTTCCAGGTTCATCCTTCGACTACCCAGACATCCGCATCTATCCCTCAGCCAAAAGAGTGCCGGCTCCTTTAGTGCTTTCTTTTAGTGGTGCGTCCTCGCGCACTTCTGGGAGGCCACTCAGTCCCAAGGAGCGTGTTCGCCGGGGAAGTAACCAATGGGCAGCGACCGTAGCCCAGTCAAACGTGGCCAAACTAA